TAATTGCTTAAAATAGTTTTTAATTTTTTTAATATATAATATAACAACAATGAAAAATATGATATACGAAAAAATTGAATCTCCAAAATATATGTTTGTCATCCGTTTTATGATAAACATCACAAATCTCTATTACCATTCACTCTTAAACCTCACATCGCAACATCTAGAGCACCTTACGTGACTGTTAAAGCACTTAATAACCCCACCATAATCTTTCTCTTTACACAATAAAATTAAGAAAATTAAAAATTGCAAAGAAAGGAAGAAGAAGAATAAGAAGAAAAGTAAAACAAAAACATCGCAATATTTTTTGCCACTGTAGAGAACTGTTAAGAAAGCTTTCATTCATTTTGAAACTCATAACCAAAGAAATCAAATTTTCAAAAATTAAAAACTAAAAAATCTAAATAAAAATTTAAAAAAAGGAACATACAAATATTTTTTTAATTTTTAAAAACAATATTGTTGAAAAAATTGTTCTTTGAGTTAAGAAAAAATTAGGAAAATATTTATTTCGTGCTTTTCTTAAAAGAGAAAAGCAAAACAATCTTATTTAAAATAAGTGACAAATTGTAAAAAAAAAAAAAAAACAAACAAACAAACAAAAAATAAATAAGAAAAGATAACAACAATATATTAACAATTCATTTAATATCTATCCTTCGTGTGTGCGAATTGTTGAAAATATATATAGAAAAGTAAAATAAATAATTAATAATGATAAAGTAAAGCAAAAACTACAGTCATCGGCGTTCTTGATTATCTGAATTTCCACTTTTCTAATTCCCTTCAAATCTGTTATATATAACGCACGCCTTAGAAGCCTCATTCTCATTTGGTCTAATTTGTCTCCTTTCAACGCCCTTGACTACAGTCCATTTTTCAACAAAAAAAAAAAAAAAAAAACAACAAACAAAAATAAATAGTAAATGAAATCTTTTTGCTAAATTATATAAAAAAGAAAACGATATATTGAAATATTTAATATATTTATAATATACATAAATAACAAAATAATACAAAACGAAATAATTCAATTTAACGCAATATAGATGTATTTGATATGAACTTAAAAAAGAAAGTAAAAAAAAAAAAAAAAATTTAATATTATTGTAACATCAAGTTGCATGCAAAAAAAAGGAATAAAGAAAACAAAAAAAGAAAGCAAATTCTCACCTTATCATATATATAATCTAAATAGAATAAAAACCAACAATAACAACAGTCTGTCTTTAAAGAAACGCTTGCAAATAAAAATATTAACATTAAAGAAAAAGGAAAGCTCATCTTTTACTGAAGGCACAAAAGCTATATTCACTATGAACCTGGGATAGCCAAGATCTCGAATACAAGCGAATCGCAAAACTTTTGACTGAACGTGGACATATCAGTTCGCAATTCCGATTTTTAAGAGCACCGATTTAGCAACTTACGCCGGCCAAGAATATATATATATATATATATATATATATATTTATAAATACTGTCTATATATTTACTGCACTGATGTAGCAACCTACGCTGGCCGAATATATAAAATGTATATAAAATAGATATATATACATACGGTACGAAAAATTAAAGTTTCTCGCGTAAAAATTTTTATTCTTAAAAAACAAAAACTTAAATTAAATAACGATTCAAAAGTTTCTTGCGACTTAAGATAAAGTTATGAACAAAAAAGCACAAAAAAGAGTGCATACCGTTCACTGGGCAGTGAGTTTAATATGCTATTTGTGGATAAAATTAAAAAATTAATATTATGTGGGGCCACCTTTAGCATCTTGGCATTTGAGAAACCAATCTTTCTGTTACATCTGCATCATTTTTTTTGTCCATTCCCAAAGTTAAGCATTGTCAAGGTCCAAGGACAGCTTCGATGCTTGTCGGCATGGATGAAATCAGTTCACGACGACAGGTCTGTAGTGGAATATTTGACTATACTTTTTTCGCCTCCTGATCCGCACTAATTTTTATGAGCTGAAGCAAAATCTTTTCTCTGTTCCAAATTAACTTGTGGGGCTTAATAATAAATTGATGATAACTCTGTTAAGATATATTTAAAATTTAAAAAAGATGGCAAGTTTGCAGTATGTTGGGAAACACGAAATTAATTAATAAATTTGTGAAATGGAAATTCAAGTTTCGAATAAAAATAAATTATGGTCGATTAGGGAGCATTTTATTATGCTGAGCGTTCGTTGTGTCACTATTTATGATTAACAACAAAATGACAAAACGACAAACGTTTTTGAACAAAGGGATTTTCCGAGCTATACTTCCCGCTAGATTGGCATCTAATAATCGTCGACGAACAGTTCGGTGTGATACAATATTCACAATTTCATTGGAAATTTCTTCAGATGATTTGAAAGATGATTTCGCTTTGCCAAAAGCAGACTGAAGGCTAAACGACTATCACTTGCGAGTGTGGTTAAGCCCAAAGTGCCCATAATTAAGGCGCCTTTGTCTCTTATTGTCAAACGAAAAATTAGTTAGAGGAGCGGAAAATGTGCATCCCAAGACGTTGTAAATAACAAACGCGGCCGCGTAAGAATGACATTGTAGCGACTGATTGTGATGCTGAGGACGTGCGAGTGCGAGCGAAGTAGCCGATTGGCAAATCAGTACCGAAAGAGTATGAGATGCAAATGCCCAAAAAAAATATGTCCAAGGATAAAGGTATCCAACGTTAGCTATAAGTACGAAAATGATAAGATTGTGACTAAAATGCCCGATCAAAATCGCATTTTAAAGCATAGAAAGGTTTAGTAGGAACTATGAGGTTAAACCAAATATTAAGACCTGTAACAGTGTCATCATTGAGACGGATTCCAAAACTTTCAGGAATATTCCGACCAAGAGGTGTATCGGCTTGTATCGTTTGGAAAAGATGGCGCCTCTATGAAGGCTGAAAGTGTCTAGGTACCCATAAGTCACTGGAATGTAAAAGCGAACCTCATAATGTATATGTGAATGAAACGAGGATGAATTAAAAGCTTAGCTTGGACTTAATATTGAGCATTCAGCGTTGATAAGGACTTGCCCTACCTATTTACATAAATTAAACTTAGTTACGAAAAACATTGATTATGATGCGTGAGCAACATTTACATGCTTGCGGTGTTAGCATGAAGATAGCCTTGAAAATTGTTAGCGGAACAGATAAAAAATCTCAGTTATGTCATTTTAATGCACATAGCTTCAATTAGCAAGATTGACTATTTTAATTATTTGTATTCCTTGCTATTTGATATTGTTTGTACAACTAAAACGTGGTTTAAGTCGCACGTCGGCAACAAGTTTTGTGAAATTAGTGTTTACAATGTTGTCCGCCATGGCAGGAGGCGATGCCATTACCTTCGGCATTATGAGAGAGTGGTTGAATATCTTGGTATCGAAATCAATGGCCATAACTCAAAATGTGTGGTCATGTGTGTATGCATACCACAAAGGTCCAATTGTTGGATGATGTTTTTCAGATGTTAGATGAGTTCTCGATATTCTGCGAAAATATAACGATACTCTTCCCGTCGAGTTGAAATTGATGGACTCCGGACCTAGTGTTGCTGACAGTTCGTTAGTCGCTCACTATGACCAATTTCCTCTTAATGGGATCTGATCATGAGAGGTTGGTTCTTGTTATCGACATAGGCATCAATTGTGATAGTTATAAACGCACGTGTTTCAGTTACAGGAGACCATTAGGCTTCGTAATGGGGCTTGCAAAATTTGAAAAAGTTCCCCTTATGCGGATTGAGATAATTGAGAGGTTTTCCTTTGAGTACAGGAATAGAGTTCATAATGTTATTAGACACATGAAACGACTTTACTTTAATAAGAAATTGGATGTTAGTCTTCGTCCTAAGATGCTTCGGAAGAATCTGCACGAAATAGACATTAGAAGGAGTTCGATAGTGTATGAAGTTGAATCTCAAACATTAAAAGATCACTTTCTGAAATCCAACTCTGGGTGTAGCAACCGTTTCTTGATTGTGGATCATAAGGTTATATATCGGCATGATAAAACTTTTCGAAACTGCTTTCTCTCCACTATGCGGACGTGAAGACCAAGATGTTTATATGAGAAAATTCACGGACAGTGGATCTAATCCTACCTGAAATACTTTACATCATCAAGAATGCTCATTGTGAATGCTGTGAGGCGTTTTATAATATATAATTTATGATCATATCTAAATCTTTATGCTTTATATTATACGATGTTTTTACGTTATGTTATTTACATCTCTGACTTTACTGTTCTTGATAATTGTGTCGAAAGTGACTGCATAGGCATTATTAATTATAGTAATGTTAATTATTGTATAATGAAATTGCCTTTAATAATTATTTTTATTAATTAATGAATTAAACTTCAATTGAATTTAAATTAATTTATTTTAAAGTGACAACCAACGGTAATAGCTTAAAAAGAAGCGTTTTCTTGCATTTGATTTGAGGTGAAAAGAAAAGCACTAGAATAATAATATGCGCGGAAGTTATTAAGTATATATTCAAGCCTAAAAAACATTTTGGAAAAATATATATATAAAGATAGCAAAATAGCAGCACGTTAGCGATTCTTCTGAGGCATTTCAACGACTCTGCGGCCCTTGCCTTATGTATTTGCAGTGACGAATTCACGAACGTGTTTTATTGTGTTATGTTAACTAAATCGATATGAAATTTTTTGATTTCATCACAGACTCTTTTAAATATTTTTAACCGATTTCCGGATCCGTTTGAGATTTTTAAAATTTTTGGTTAGGCTGTTAAACCGACCCAAAAAAGCTAAACATATGAAAGTGTTTACAAATCAAAGGTCGGTATATCGAATTCAAAAGAAAACATATGAAATTGTTTACAAATCAAAGGTCGTTATAGCGAATTCAAAAGAAAGTTATATATGCATGGCCGTCGCTGAGTATCTTCAAATAAATAGCTCTCTTTAATTTAACAACCCCGTGTTAGCGTATTTTTCTAATGGCAATATTTCGTATATTATAGGAGGACAGATATCGTAAGTTGCAAGCATATGTAAACAATGTGAAACCTAATAGAATCTGAATTTTTCCTTTAGTTATAACCAAAACAAAAATAAAAGTAACAAAACTAGGGCAAAAAACAATCACTCTTAAATAATTTGGACGTATTGGTCTCCTGAGCAATCAATGGCAATCCAAGTATGCAAAAAAAAATACAGTATATAAAAAAAGCAAAAAAACCATTGTATAGAAGTGTATTTAAAGCATATTTTTTAAATTTTCACCATTTCCAGCGAAAGTGTTTATGAGAAATGACGAATTGTGTCGTTTTTGGTTGCTGTGGAAAAAGCAGTGCGGATGACAACATCCGCCTATACAAGTTTCCCCAGGACAAATTAACGAGAATAAAATGGCTAGAGAATATTGGCTTGCAACCAGAAGAATTAAAATCCATGTCTAAAGTTTGCAGTCGGCATTTTGAGAGTGGATATCTCGGTTTTAGACGTTTAAAACCTCGTGTGATACCCACGTTGTGCCTTGGTAAGTATTTTAAGACAAAACAAAATACTTATAAGGAATCGTCGGAAAAATCGTGAAACCTTTTAGCAACAGGTAGTGCCAGTTCACTACGGAATTAATAAGGTCGTTCACATTTTTGATATGACGTTTTATAGTTTTAGCTTTTTTTTTTTTTAAAAACACGTAAGTTATTTGGCTGAATGTTTTGATGAGTTTAAAAGAAGAGAATGAAAGGGAAACGCAATACATTATCAAAATCTCAGCGATTCGTGATCATCAAAATGGTGTGGTATATGTGAGTAAATGTCATGACGATTCCGACAGATAAAAAATTATGCCTCTATGTTATTTAGGCAAAATGTATATTTGTTTTTCTCTACTAGGTCACGAGCATAGAGCCCTTCATCGCAATACAGTTCCTTTCCAATGGAAACGGAGGAATTGCTGTATTAAAAATTGCAATTCCGGCTACGAGCAGAGGTTTTTTAAAGTTCCACCAAAAGGAGAGGAAAGGAGAACCTGGTTGAGTTTATGTAAACTAGATAACAGTACCAAAAAATATTTGTATATATGTGCTAATCATTTTAATGAAAACGCCATCGGCAAACGAAAACTGTTAAAAGGCGCAGTCCCTTCAAGAAATTTATTTCTCAATGATAGTCTAATAGGTAAAACTGAAAAAGTGAATGCTGATACAATCGGAGAGGATACGGAGACCAATGAAAACGAATCTGTTACAAACTCCAGTTTATCTGAACGATTTATAAAAGATAAATTGACAATTTCGCGCGCTGTGTACAAAACAGAAGACTCGGAGGACTACACAAGCGAGGTAGAAGTGTGTCCAAATGGCTGTCACCGTAATTTTTTGCAGAAAGAAAGAAAACTATTAGCAGAAATAATCCGTCAGAATGAGGAAATTATTCAATTGAAAGACATAATTTCCGTTCTAAAGCAGCGGTTTCAAAATTTGGAAAATTCGTCATTCATTGCTAACGCAAACACTAGCGAGGAGGCGATCGCTTTTTCAAAAATGATATGCGGTGGGCGAAAAAAGAAGTTCGGCAAAGATGAAAAAATACTTGCTCAGAATATCTTCTCTATTTCGAGCAAATGCTACAACTTTATGAGGAGTACCTTAAAATTTAATTTACCTCACAAATCGTCAGTTGATAATTGGTGCTCCGTATTGCCCAAGAGCGCTGACAGCGATGATATCATCTTTGAACAGGTTTTCATTCCCAAAGATTCAGATTATGAACAATCGAACAATAACTTAGATAATTTTGTATTCAATCGCAATAAAGAGAACGAGATGGGTTCAGTGTAGTTCGAAATATTTATGTGTTAGTGTCTTATCGCCACGCTTGCATAATAGTTAAAAGTAGAAATATGTTGACTTGGATTGTAAGGGCACTATGTATTTATAAACACATTTTAGTACTTTAATTCAACACTAAAGTCAAGACATTAAATAGTTTTAGCATATTATGTAGCCTACACATGTGTTATGCCCATTATGTTAGGTCTATAATATATGAATATTGGGCTATGCGGCTTCATTATATAAAAAAATGCTTATAAGATAGTTAATTTAGTCTATATTTCCATAGAAAGGTAAGAAATAAATTGTTTTATTTATTATATTCATTATTATCACCAAATATTACTATGTACCTTATGAAAACGAAATTAATGAAATAGCGTTTATTTCAATATCCTCCACTAAATGACTTATTTATATGCGGCTACACGAAACATTTACTGTCCAATTGAAGCAAATGTCTAAGTTTCCGCCAGTTCCACTTACTTAAACCATTCATCACTATTACTATCGTCTGTTTCATCACAAATATTGCAAACGTCTACGCAAACTATATAAAAGGACGTTATCCTTAGGAATAACATGCACAAAAGTGTTGCAATATTTTTTTATAAAGTTCAAGAAAACAACGGTTTATTCACCTGTGCAAATCATTTACTATACACAATTCTATTTCTTTTATTATTATCAAAAGAGATTCTTAAAAAGATGAATAATAAGAATTTTTGTTAATTTTGGGTATCTCACTTCTGGGCGGTACGTATACTTAATTCATGAATAGCTTAAAAAATTTCCGCATATCCGAAAAGCAAAGTGAAATGAAACGGCGTTGAGTTTGAAATTGATTTGAATAATTTCGACAAACGATTCCACTTATAATCACTAGTCTTTCCCTTGCATGCGATAGTTTGCATTTTTGAAACACGATCTAGAAATGATTCCTTTTTAAGAAATAATTCTTTCTGAAATAATAGTTCTTGAATTAATTTACAAACAAAATTACAAGCTGAGACAACAGAGCTTACCAAAAAATAAATTATTTACAATTTTTAATTACTGGCCGTCTTGAAACACAAACACCGCAGATATGATATCCGCATTCTTTTGTTCCTAACGCGAAGGAGCTGCGAGGACATCATATATTTTCGTGCAATTTTTTTAAAGGCTTGTTTTTAATATTTCCAATTCTAATAAATAATACGTGCGCATTTCAGTTATGGTTGCTAAACGTATTGATAATTAATTGCACATCAACAAATACTCTTAAATCTCATAAATTCAGAAAACGAAAACTCTTGCATTTAATTTAACAGCCCTGTATTACCTTTTACATTATCAAACAACAATCTCTTGCATATTATATGAAAGATTGTTTCCCAATTATCGTATTTAAACCATATGTAAACAAATAAAGATAATCTTAATCTGTCATAAAAAAAGTATATTGTTAAAAAACTTAAGCTTACCGTATTGCAGATCCTTCTGAAATATGAAATACTGCATAGTACAAGGCTGCAACGTGAAATCGACCTCAGGTGACAAAGTAACCATGTTTGACTTTCCTCCAGACAAACCAACGAGATTAAAATGGCTGGAAAATATCGGTGTGCAGGCCAAAGATCTAAACACTGCGACTAGGGTGTGTAGTCGTCACTTTGAAACGAAATACGCTGGTAAACGTTTGCGGAGGCGTGTAGTACCCACTTTACATCTTGGTAAATATCCAAAGGCACGCAATTAAAAGATTTGTGTTTCATTTATATAAATAAATACAGGCATCCTTCGTACAACACGGTTAATTCATATCGCGCTATATCGAAAGCGTGTTATATGAAAATTTATTTTTTATTTATTTTGGAATAATATAATTTAAATTGAGATATAATATAGTTCCAAACATAGTGTAATGTGTTGCATGGAAATCTATTTCAATATTATATATCATATTGAAACCCTCTTACACCAGACTTTGAAATAATATAAATCGTGGCAATATTTACCGTGTTATATCGAAACCAAGTCCTAAAGTGTCCAAGTCCTTTATCATACCTTAAATTTCATTCCGAAAATACAAATAAGTAAAAGGTTTTTTATTTGAAAAAAATATTCAACGAAGATAGTGATTATACAAATTAGAAAAATTATATTCATTTTGTATTAAATAAATGTATATAAAAATAAAATATATATAAAAGAATTATTAAATGATTACTTTTGCTTTGAATTTCACATAAAGCACTAGTTTATATAAACCGCCCAGATTCCACAAATACGGTAAATAAACCACCCAGATTTCACAAGCATTTGGAATAAAACTGCGGCAAAAGAAACTTGTAAACGGCTGTTAGCAAATGAATTATTAATTCAAGTATTTAATTCATTTTCATGAAGTTGGTTTGAAAATCTAGCAGAATACACATTCCATTATTATTATATCAAAACCACGTTATAATCACAAATTTTTTGCCGTACTATATTGAAACCGCGTTTGACAGCTAGCGTGTTATACGAGAGATGCCTGTACACACAATATTAAGTTGTTTGAGAAGTCTTAGTACTACACTTTCACCTTTTTTGGGATTAGTTCATTTTGAATGTGTAAAAAATCACACTCTGCGTTTCCGTAATATTACTATTTAAACCTCGTTAAACGAAGACCATGAGATAACGTGGCAAAATTTTCCCTTCAGATTGCTCTACAAAACATTTGGAAAACCTTTGCATGAGTACGACGGACTCACAAAACCATCACCACCTTGAACGAATTTGGCTATTTCATACTTTCCGACGTTTTCGATGCAAAGTTTAGTTATGTTAGTGAACGAACGACTACCGAGTTCGACAACAATTAAATGAATAAATACGACGCGTTATGAAAACGTTCAATAATCATCAATTTCGGGTGGTTGAGGGACCAGACTTCCTTCCTTTTTTGAACGAGTACATGTCTATATTTAATCATTTTTCTCTTCAGGTGATTATCAAAAAGCCGTTCACCAAAATACCATTTCGGCTTCAATGAAGAAAAGAAGGTGCGCCATTGACAATTGCAGATCCGATGCGGAAAATAGATTCTTCAGAATTCCAGCAGGAGGGGAGAAAAGGAAAACTTGGTTAAATCTATGTAAATTAGATGACAGATTAAAACACATGTTTTTGTGTTGGAATCACTTTAACGAAAGCGATATTAAGACAAACAGGCTTGCAAAAGGAGCCGTTCCTTGCAAAAATTTATTTACTAATGACGACGATTCAGTTAAGCTGAAAAACGTCGGTGCTGGTATAAATAAAGAAGAATCGGAAAATAGTCAAAACTCTTTCACGGCCTCTGCTTTTAATTCATCTGAACAAACTTGGCGAGACGAGGAGATTGATGAAAATTCAGTAAACTGTACTACGTACGAAAAAACAGAAATTTTGGAAAGAAAGCAAAACGGGCCAGGAGTTTGTGCAACCAATCGGGATCGGGAGCGCGGACAAGAGGAAAATAAATGGTTAGCGGAAATAGCGCTTAAAAATCAGGAAATCATCCAATTAAAGAGCACTATTTCCGCGTTAAAAACCAAACTTCAAAAACTGGAAAATTCGTCCTTTATTATTGAACCGGACACCAGCAAAGTAGCTTTCGCCTTTTCGAAAATGATATGTGGTGCTAAAAGCAAAAAGTTTACCGAAGAACAAAAAAGACTGGCTCAGCATTTTTTTTCTGTTTCGGCTAAATGTTACAATTTCATGAGAGGCACCTTAGAATTTACGTTACCTAACGATTCATCATTTTGTCGCGCGGACTTATCCCATGAAGACGATTACCAATTTGCCTTTGAGCAAGTTTTCATACCCAAGGGCTTCGGATATGATCGATCAAACAATTTGCTCGACAGTTGTGAACGTGTGTGCAATCCCCTCAAGGTCACCAATTGTAACCCGTCTACATAGGTAAACATTGCTGTTTGTTGAGACGTATGCAGCAGGAAGAATATGTGTTTCAAGCATTTTTTTAGTTACTATTATATTAAAAAAAAGTAAATTGAGTGTTTTAAACAAAATCTTATAGGGTATAATTTTCTAATCCGATAGATAATTCTAATTAATAGGTTGAGAATTTGAGAAAAAATCAAACCCAATATTTGTCTTAGTACTTGAAACTACTAATTTTTTACCCTTTTTAAAATTGAAAATACACTGTTTTTTTAAATGTGAAAGTGAGATTTGTTTAAATACACAGTACTCAACATAAGGCAGGGCTTTATTTTCTCAATCGGCTTAAACACATCTGTCCGCCTGTCTGTCAGATCTCTTCCCATGTACGTTGTGCTCTAGTGGGCTCGATTTTAATGAAAATATATCGCTCTGCAGCAATAAACATTCGTCACATATTTTAGTGAAATTTGATACACTGACATGCTTTGTCCCCGTATTTTGCTTTATTGCATCTTGCGGAACGCGGCTTTTCGGCCATATCGGATATGCTGAATGTAAAATCAAAGGATAATTAGGTTTTGTTTAAAGAATCACATTGTCTAGGCGCAAACAGCTATAAATCGATACAAAAAAAAAAAAAGTGAAATTCTGAGAATATAATATTAAGTAGGTAATGTAAGGTCCTTTTAAAACACTTGTGTTGAAAGTCTTTATCGGAAAAGAGAAAATTTGCAAATTTAAAGTTTCCTCACAAAAGTCTGTGAAAAATAATGTTCTGATACACTAAAAGAATGCGCAAAATATAAATGAAATGGAACCAACATTTGAGTTCTCTCATCTATTAATGCTCTTACAAGAGATAAGCGTTTACATAGAAAAACAATCTAAATTTTAAGGTTTTGTGACGAAAAGTTAAACAAAATGGTAGTAGTTTGCCAAATAAATTTCCTACGGTTAGTTTGCAGCACAGGACAGCAGAGCACAGCACGTATATATATTTTTCAAACTTTTCTTCATATCAGGATTCTTATCAAAATTAGACTTTTATATGGGAACACAATTTGTAAGCTTCGATTTTTAACAACGAGGGCATGTGAAGAATTATATTAGGTGAAGTGACTTATGATATTTTAGGCTCGACCTAATTCGACGATGTGGGTTCTGTCGACTTTCTTCTAACATTCCCAGCGATAAAACCACGTAGTGAACGAACGAGAGTTTAGGCGTTTTTGCCGAACAGCTAAATCCAACGCCAAAGCCAAATTTTTCATACCTGATTACCCTCCTGATTTTCTTATTAAAAATCATTTTGATAATATCTACACAGATAATTACAAGTACAATTTACGGTATGCTACACCAGGGATTAAACCTGTTTGATTGAACTTGTTTGATTGCAAGCCAAACGCCCAAAGTATTAGCACACAACGACGGCAAACGTTTTCCTTCACAATCAACATTTGAAACAACATTTAACAAACGGCAGCTAAAAAATCTTTTCTGACGTGGCTTTTCTGGGTTATTAAAAAATAAAATTTTTTTTCGAAAATAAATTAAAACAAAAAACATTAATAATTGATATAAATCTTTACTGAATTCATTTTCGAGTGAAAAATTATTCTATAATAATTTTGTTGGCAACTTTGTAAGCTTGTAAGTATATATAGATTAGATAGTTTTCCGGATCCGGATCTTTGGAACTGTTCGTGGGATTACAGCTAAACACAACATAAGCCTGTTTCTATAGTTCACCACTTTAAACAAGTCTTGCCCGAACAGTTCACCCCCTAAGCCATCTTTAACGAGATCTCATCAGCCAATGATTGCGAACATGAATTTGCGTTCTTCGCAATTCTTTGCCATTGCATGCAATTAAAAAATGTGGATCTATTAACTTTATACGCTTAGATTTGCGGTATATCCAAATCATTCCCATTCCGAAAGCAAATAAAGGAGGTCAAGGAGGGACTAATGGATTTCTTGAAAACTGGGAACATTATTCCAGCTCGTTCTTAGGCGTATTAAAAACGCTAATCTGCGCATATCTGCGTTAAGGAACTATATTTTCTCACAGCTAGTTTAAAAAAAGTTGTTAGAATGGTTATTCCGTGGAAATCAGCAAAGCCTATGATTGCGTGAACTTGATTGGACTTGGTAAACTTTCCAAACTTCTTCTCAACTTTTTCAAACTTTCCAATTCCCCTTCAAATATGTCGGTGGACACTAAACTTTTTATCTAAGCGTGTGTTTGTAATGGGTGCAGACAAAGTTGAAGTATACGGTTGTATTCCATAAGACAGTTGCTTAAGCCCTATACTCTTCAATCTATATACAACCACTTTGCATGATTTTCAAAATGACAAAACTCAATATGCAGATGATTTCTTAATTATACGGTGGCCGTGAACAGTCTCTCGACAAAAGTTGACCTTTTATTCGATGCATGTGCCGATCTTATTTATATAGAACAAATACTATTTATTTTGCCAAAGATTCTAAACGTGAAATCAGTCTCTATATCAAAGGAATTAAAGTTGATCAGGTGAAATCTCCTCGATTTCTTGGTAGAATTTTAAATGACAGCCTAACTCTTCGTGGACATTCTAAGAAAGCCTTCAAAGACTGTCAGTCTGGATGTAGTATCATTAAATCCATGACTGATAATCAGTCAGGCATACCTCCAAAAAAAGCTTTGACTGTGTAGAAAGCTTTAGTCACGTCCAAGGTTGAATTTTCTCATTCTACATCTTGTAATTTTCCAAAATATATTGAGAAACATTTGAAAATAGAACGTTAAAGCGTTCTACTGGACTGATCCCCCAAACTCTTCAACATATTCTCAATGTAATTTCTGATGAATAGCCCGTTTCCGGAAGAGCTATTCTTTTGTGCTGCTAAGCAGTTAATTAAGGTCAACATAAATTCCATCCCTCTCTGGAATTTTGTTACCAATAAATCGATCTCAGCCTCGGCGCAAAATGTCAATCTCTCTTGTGTGAGGATCTTATGTCAAGAAAAGTCTCTTATTTATTACAACAACAACGGCTATGATATATATGTCACTGACGATTCCGTTGGATATAATGGATCTATCTTCCTGGTAGTGAAGCATCTATTTAAAATAGTACAAAGTGGCAGAGTAACTTTCCTCAACTTTTATTGAATTGTTTGCCATCAGACATGCTATTGGGGTAACTATAATAAATAAAAGAGAAACAGATAATCGGTATGTGTTTGATATACACAGGATGTTACATGCATTTCAAATGAATAACTGTCACGTTGTTTGGATACCTGGTCACTGCGGCTTCTTTTTTTTTAATGAAAAAGCGAACTTTCATGCAAAAAAGAGTTAAGCTGTTGGGACAATTTTGTCTATCAATTTTGCTCCCAACAAACCAATACGAAGAGTGCCCGTAACCGCAACCACATCTTTCAACAACTAAATGATGAATTTAAAAAGATTGCGCGTGTTAAAGCGAATCGCCTTTTCTATAAAATAAATCCTGCAGAGGCTTTCTTTAATTCCTAGCAATTTAAAATTCTTTATAGCCTCATGAGTGGTCGCACTTACGGTGAATTATATTTAAAAATGATTCGCGCTATACTATATGATATTTGTGAAGTTTGTAATGTTAGCGAGTCTGCTGAGCATTTAACTTTTAAATGTCACAGACTTGATGGTATTCAAAATTCCTTTGGCTTTTTCAAATTATATGGTGGCCTGCCGGATCTTTGTGCAGCGAAAAATGTACGTCATCTCGGGGCACTAACTTACTTTATTAGAAAAGCGAATTTATCTTTTTAATTCGCGATAAAGTTTTTTGCGTTTTTTACGTTCAATCATATTGCATCACTATAGCATTCTGTTTTTTTTTTCAGCTAATGTTGCAACACTAGCTTTTTCACCACTTTCAATAACTCAACATTTTACAATTACACTTAGCTTTAGCTAGCATGGCCGCATTTTTTGTGTTGTGTTTTATATACATCTCTTCCTAATAAATTACTACTGTTTCTTATCTGGACATATAAGCCACAAATTTATTGGCTTGGTCCACCTTAACTCTATATCTAGAAAAAAAAAAATAAAAAAAAATAAAAAAAAAAAAGAAAAGAAGAGAAAGAATGTGTGGAATTAAAAGCAACTAAGAAATTAATTAATTTTAAGTGTTGAAGATAAGCACTTATTTTTTTTTTTTTTTTTTTTTTGCTGAACGGGAGGGTTCATAATTTTTTGTGTGACTAAACAATTTTGTTTTGCATGAAAGTGTTAAGATTCCTGCGGTTTTCACCAGTGGATAATTTGAACGAATTATTTGTAATAATACTGCGTATATAGGAAGCGAAGAAACGAGGAATACGGCTGCAAAATGGCTCTAAAAGTGTTGGTTGGACAAAGTAAGTAAAGCAATTCATTGCTATACAGCCTACATAAGGATAGGTCTCGCCTCCTCCTCGATGAGATTGTGTATCAAAAAATCTTTCCAATATCTGTATATAGATGAAAAACGTACTAATTTTCTTTTATTGATTTTTCACCGACGGTGCTGCAAGCTTTCTACGCCCCCAGTTTGACCTTTTTCTTTTTAAAAGTACAACCCATATATATATTGTGTGTAAATTTTAGTCATGAATAGCTTTACACTTCGTCTACTAGAGGCTGGCTCTCTTCGCCCTTCTTTTAAATATCATATAATTCTGCGCAAATGCGTAATACATGTCATTTTTTTTTTGTTTTTAATGCTTCTCTGACATATTGTTGTTCTCTAAGTGATGTCATTTAAATGGAAGAGTAGATTCAATATTTTTAATTTATTGCTACGATATGAAAATTAGATTAGATTATTGATTTTTTGGTTTTCTTCAAAAATTCCTCTTAACCTATTTCTGCCTCTATTTTATGCAAATGTAATTCATCTTATCTTAGTTAGTGTCAGTTTGCTTACATTCCATAAGCCTCTGTCATTGATTTTTATGGAGAATTCACATCTTTCTTTAGTTTGATAATTCGTGACTCATTCGCTTGTCGATTACTTCATAACTGGTTTCTTTTCACAGGGTCTAACTCAAAGCTATAAAATGTGTCAGCAGCCTATGTAAAGAAAACAATAACAATTGTAATTAAATGAATTGTACAATTTTAAAGGTTGAGTGCTATGTTCATGTTCCAATTTTTTAATAATAAGGTTTAGTTAGTATATATATATATATGCTCATATTTTATTCTTATGCATATAGAAATTTTACTGCGCCCCAGCCAGGTCACTACCTGTCAATGTATCGTTTCTATTCAAGATACTGGCGTTCTGCTGTAAACTTGGTCATTTTCTTTATATTGATTCTGCATTCATAGCTTTTCGTTTAACTTATTTTTTAATAATGATAATCACATATATGTCATCATGGAATTTTTTTCTAAATACCTTTCTTCAACTTTCCTTTTAAAATAATGGTTGCGTGGGCGACCCATTATTGAAATTTATTTTCGGTACAAAACCCTTTGTTGCCTATGGGGCCTGTAAGTTACGTTAGACATTGTGTTTAAACGAGCGGTGTTCAAAACGAAAGTACGACCCAATGAACTCTTTGATCTAAACAGCGCCTCAAGTAGGCAATTGTTATGGACATAATGGTATTTCATGTATTCCGTGCTAGCCATTTTAATGGACATTTTATTTATAAAGAAAACCACTGACCCAAAAAAGAACCTCTGAAAGCTAAGAATGCACAATTACAAGGCATCATCAAACCTAAATCCAAAATAAGGCTTTCCAATAAAGAGGATGACATAATCATCGAAAATATCTACTTGAATTTATTTTGGTTTGTTTTCACTTTTTCTGCATAAAAAATTGTGAGTTTCGTGTACACATTTTATTTGCCATCAAGATGGAAAAGACATTTAATTGAAAACAACGGTAAGATTGATTAGAACGGACCTTTAGATATATGCAGCATTGAAATGAATCGTTTTTAGAAATCCTAAGAATATTTTGTTTTTCTAGAAATTATGAACGAGGTAGTGAAATATAAGCCACCACCACCGAAGAAGGCGGGTGCAGCTGCGGCAGCAGCAGCGAATAAATCAAATTATGATTGGCGTGTTCTGGTAGTGGACAAATTGGGGATGCGTATGGTGTCGGCTTGCACTAAGATGCATGAAATTAGTGCCGAGGGGATTACTTGTGAGTGAACTTTGAAATAGTTTTCGCATAATAAGTGAAAAGTTTTTAAAGAAAGGTGTGCATTTTATTTATTTGTGCAGTGGTTGAGGATATTAATAAGAAGCGTGAGCCTCTCCCAACCATGGATGCTATTTATTTGATAACACCTTGTCAGGATTCGGTCGCTGGACTAATAAGGGACTTTGAGAATCCAGCCAGGCCGATGTATCGCTATGCTCATGTGTTCTTTACTGAGGGTAAGTGGAGAAGTTTATAAATAGAAATGAAAAATAAGATGAATAACGAGAACCAAAACACTAACGTCTTTCAAGTTCGTTTAATTTGTAGTTATTTTTATTTTCCATGTTTTTTTTATTATTTTTTAATTATTATTTTATTTTATTTTTTTTTTTTTTTATAATTTAGCCGTCCCTGACCACATTTTTGAAATGCTAAAAGCCGAAAAGTATTTTGTTCGACATTATTTAGTTAGCTGTAAGGAAATCAATATTGCCTTTATAGCCTACGAAGATAAGGTACTTAAAAATAATTCCATTTTCATTTTGCTTTTTCTTGGATTCAATCCAAGTAACAGAAATTTTATAAGTGTTGTCTGTTCTAATAACATCTGCAGTTCAGTATGAGTCTGCAACTTGCGGCGATTAACACGAAAGCAATACTTTCCCCTTAACGAAACCATTTGTCTTTATGTATTAAAACCCGAAATGCCTTTAACTGTATCTATGCTTTTGTTACATTTTATATATTTATTTCATTTCTGAACTATTTATTATCACGTGATGTTAACTCAATTTATGTAACTCTAATTAAACCACTCACTCACTGATTCACTCGCTTCTATGCCTTGTTTCACTATACGAAGGTTTCAGTTTCAGGTTTCTTTCTAATTCTAGGAATAGCAAAAAATCTTAGGTATTTTTTCAATAACATCCGAGCATGTGACCTGCAACGATAATTTGAAAGGTGTTACCAGCGAACATTGATTATATATCAATCTGAATCACGCAATTTTTATATTCATAAAGGACAAATGGAAATATTTCAAGCTTGTTGTCCGACTAGAGTAACCTCCACGAATATACTTCGATCTTTCGATGATACGTACACGTTTAGGACATTTCGGGACAAATGGATAATTTTGTGTCCGTCCCATGTCTGTCTGAGTTTTCACAGTTATAAATATTAGTTTAATGTATAGAATAATTCTACGAAAAAAAGGATGAAAAGAAAGAGGAAGAAGAGAAATGAATCGTAGCAATTAAAAAAATGATATTGGAAAATGTCAAAGATTTTCATGTTTCATATTTATATTAATTGAGCAAGCCTCATGCGAAAGATTGTGAAATTTAATCGAGAGTTCAGAATAAGAAAGATGATAAATTATCCATAGACAATTTGAGAAGATAAGTAAGATAGTAATATACAATAACTAATATATTTATTATTTAGGTAATAATTTCAAATTATTTATCTTTAAATTTTTAGAATTTCTAAAGATACTTTATTTTTTGTTAAATTTATCAAATGAATCCAACGTACTGAAAGACCCTATAAAGACTATTGTGTGATTAGCGTAAACGATCTGTCCATGCGTCGTATCTCTACCAGTCCGTTGAAAGCGTGAGAACAACTTCAGAGGTATTTTTATATACCTCATCGTTTTGCAAATAAATAGTTCACTTAAAGTACTAGCGGGCGGTATTGAAAAATTCGGCAAAGGCGAATGTTACCATCTTTTTATTTTTTACTTTTGATTTTTCCTATTTTTTTTTTTTTTTTTTTTTTTTTTTTTTGTAATTATAAATTTCTTAAAAGAAAACCTCTTTGTAAAATCGAATATTTTCAGCGAAGCAATGGTAAGATTTTAAAATACTCAAAAGAAAAGTCCTAATGTTTCCCAATTTTTTATTTAAATCAAGCATGTAGCGTACATGCCACGTTATTTAGATACAATTTTATCTAATAGTGTTTTAGCGTATTTTTCAAAATATCTTTCAACCCCTTATTATATAAAAGCCGAACGTAAGGTTTTTAAAAATATGTTGTAAAAATTTTATTTCATTATATTTATTTATTTAACTTAAGCACTTAATGCCTTTATCTAATGTCTTGAATTTACAATTTTCCCATTTTCATTTTTAAAACTTATTGAGATGAGAAAAAAAAAAGGAAAAAGAAAAAGAAAAAAAAATTGCAATTTTCTTTTATTTTCATTTCATGAAAAAATTATATTTATAGTTTGCCCGGAGGAATTATTTAACGATTTGTGTAAATCGTGCGCTGCAAGAAAGATCAAAACACTAAAGGAGATAAATATAGCATTTCTACCTTATGAATGCCAGGTGCGATTTTAAAACCAAACAAAAGAAAATTAATTAAATACTAACCAAAAATTATCCCAAAGAAAGACTTTCAAAGCAATTGACAGAAGCAGCACTTTGAACTCGCATTCTACTCTCTACTCTACCCTACTTACTCGTCTACTTACTTACTTAAATACTTACTTACTTACCTACCTACAGTATATCACAGTATACCTACCTCTCTACTACTTACTCTACTCTCTAAATTAATCACCAAAACTATTATTGATGTCTGTGTAAAAAGCCTATGTGTGGCATGAATTTGTTTAAATGAAAAAAAAAAAAAAAAAAAAAGAACAATGAACAAATTTCTTTCAATTTAATTGTACAAAATTCTTACTAAATGTCATTTATCTTTTTTTTTTTCAATTTTTTATTTCAATTTTTTAAATTTGTTTTAACTTAAATGTTGTAATTCTGTACATGTTGTGTAGGTATCTGAAAAAAAAGATAAAGGAAAAATACGCCCATCCCTTGATTTAGACACCACAAAACTCGTATAAAAAAGAAACTGCAGCATTCAATTGGAATAAACTGTTAAGCAATCTCCATAGGTTCTAAAAAAGTCAATAATATGTTTTTTTTTTTTTTTTTTAGTAATATCAAGCACCATCCAAAGTAGCTTCAAAGAGTAAAGAATATAAGTTATATTGGTTTCTTATTAGAGAGTCGGTAATAACTCGGTTCGTTATTCTCAGTTCATCGAAAGATTCCCATGTTCCTTTGCATATTAAGCGAAAATGAATCCTTACGCGCGGGATGATACACAAAATTTAAGAAAATGAAAAGCGTATCAATTTTGTGATTGCAGGCGCGTTGTGCGTTCTTCGATAGATTTTGGGGAGGTGCAATTGTGAAGAAGGAGCCAATGAACTTGTACGAACTCGCTAGACTTTTATTCATCTATAAATCAGGGCAAACTACTACCGTAAAAATTTGAAAATTTAAGTGAATCGATTTATTTAGTTTTCGGGAAATATATACAATTCGTTTTTTTTTTCGGGAGGTCGACAGGTTCCCCCAGGAAAACTGTGAAAACAAATTCGTGTAAAAATATACAAGCGATGTGCAGTAAATTTGGGGATATGTTCCGCAACACTAGAAAATCGTACAAGATGATAAAACTTTAGATATGTATATGAAAAAAGAAATTAAAATAAGTTTACAATGAAAATTCAGTCCATAAGTACAAGACAAAAAAGATTTAAATTGAAGTTAGGAATACAAAACCATTTCAAGCGTGGACATCTGTTGCGGACTGGACGATCAACAAAGGAATATCAACTTGTAGAACTTTGTTGGACTTATTTATTGCATCCTACGACCACTTGAGTAGTGAATAACGAGATACTATGTTGAAACTGAAGTAAAACGGAATAAAGAAAAAAGTGACGACAAAATTTGGATATTGCACTTAGTAGACTTAGTAGTGGCTAACAGAGTCAAAGAATTTGTGTAAAAAAGTGTATTTGTTCTTATTAGTGAATCGGGTTAAAAATTCCGTGTAAGGAAGGAGTTGCTTGTATATATAATATATATATATATATAAAAAGAAAAGAAAAGTTAAAAAAAAAAAATAATAATAATAGTAACACAATGTAACAAACAATACGTTCTAAAAGCTATTGGCCCTTAAAGAATCACAAATGATGTACGAACTTTGAGAAACGGAAATGGAAAAAATCAGCATTGTTGACTTGTGCGTTCGAGTGCGTTTAACAACCAAATCGTGCAGATCATGGGATTGGTGTACTAATGCGAAAAAGTTCAAACCAAGACATTTTGTTCTTTTCTTTAAAGGAGGGTTGCGTTATTAGCTTTTGCCACTTGTTCAACAATCTCAGCCGTTTTTTAAATCTTTTTTTTTTTTTTTTTTTATTTTTGTTTTCGAAAATTTCTTGTAAACTAAATAAACTAAAACAGCAAATCTCCTTAGGTTTTGTTTTACTTATTTTGTAGTGTTCAATTTAATGTGTATGTGATGTTATATACAGATAAACAAATCGTCAACCACAACTTGTTTACTTATATAACAGCAACAAAAATTAAACAATTGCCACGAATATATAACAACAACAAAGTATAAATATATATATTTATATTTACATGAATAGACAAATATATGCCAAATTACATACAATCCATAAAACAAAGACCACCACTTGCTTACACTTGCTTTGATCCTTGACCTTTATTCTCCCCCCACTCACACAACCCAGCCAACCAACCAACCAACCAACAACCACCGTTAACAAATTACATATGAACGCATAAAAATAGACTTTAGTTGGTAATAAATTGGCTTAAGCCACATAAGCAAAAATTTTGTTTCGTATTTTATGCATTCATTTGCAGTTTGTTTTGTATATTATGTAATTTGACATATAAACTCCCGGGCATTCAAGTTTTTCTTTGATTGAGAAAAACCATTTGTTCTTTCACCCCATCACACAATATATATATGATATTACCATCCACTGCCAGATAATCTTCACATATAACGTATTATTGATTAGAGAAATGCGCTTAATAAAAACTAATGCTGGAAAGTATACTACAAAATAATATAAACGAATAAATTGACTAAAAAGAGAAAATCCTCCGACTTTTTGCTATTTCTAAGTAAACATATCTCCTAACGATGACGTCTTTTGAAAATAAAAAATACCTCGAAAAAAATTACTTCGAAAAGTAACTTTGAGCGTTCAAGAACAGATATGATTCCGAGAAATCGCCTTTCCCTTCCGAGCACACGACGCTCTTGACATCTACGCTACATATTTGTCGTTTATTTCAATTTCTTTAGTTACATAACGCACGTCCGTCCCGCTTATTTAAAAATTTCAAATAATTTAATTTGCTCGCACACGGCAATGTCGCAAATGGATTGTGTCTGCCTGCCTAGAAACGTGTTTATGTGGTTCTTATTGTTCATAAGATGCACAACGCCGCATTTGTAATTATACTTGGACCTTGAATTATTTATTTATGAGTATAGAAGATAAGGCTGTGCATCCGATCTGTAACGAAAATATTTCAATTCTTAAAGAATATGTATTTTGAAAATTTGCTTAATACATTCAATCTCTTCTGGCCCGTATAGGTGCATATAATCTATTTATTCGGTGGCTTTTAACCATATTTTGTAAATTTGTTTATAAATTCTATAGAGAATAAATAAACAAATTGCTTACCTAGCTCTTGATCACATCGATATTTCAATTTCCAATGAATTGTTCAATTAAAACGATCCTGAGGAAAATGAAAACTTACATGCAACGGCTGTTGCCGTTGTCTTCTACATTTTAATTATACCAAAGTGAATTACCAATAAAAGAAGCTTTAGTTACCCAGCCTTTTTTGGAAATTCGTTTTTTACAAAACATTGTGCGCGAATGTGCTCTCCCCGTCCGTGTGGGATGCCTAGAAATGATTGCCCTAACTATAGAAGATTTAAAAAGTCAGCGATTACCCCTATATACCCGATCTTACAATTGATTGCAAAAAAAAAAAAAAAAAAATCCTTCACAACAACTTTCCATTAAGCGCATTCTTTAGTATTCAAACGAGCAATTTTTTCCAACTTTTTGCTGAACCAAATTCAAAAATTCATTATAATCGACGCATTGAAATCATAATATTTATACAATATTTTAGACCTATGACTCGTTTACTTATTTGCATGCTTTCGCTATACGTTTTGACAGAATCCGCTTACTAATCTTACATTTATATTATTAATATTATTATAATAATTATTATTATTATTATTATTTTTAATATAATTATAATTACAACTATATATTCAAAATTATTTAATTTTTTGTTATACTTTTGATTATCATTTACTATTAAAATATATAGATTTAATTAGCAATTGCAATAATTATTATTACTGATGCGCGCGTGTAAACAATTACGTGTAACTATCAAATATCTGATAAGTGTAAATATCCGAATTCGTTGTGATTTCCTGAATTTACTTCCTTTCATTTGCCGTGCGATTCGTTCGATTTCTGAAATGTGTGCAAGACGTAACAAAGATGCATACAATATTTTTTTTTTTTTTTTTTTTTTTTATTGTATAACAAATAATTCGGGGGATGTCGCCTATTTGTGTAATGCGGTGATGGTTGGAAAGAAAAGGGTGTGTCCGACTGAGCACTCGTTATACCTACGAATAAAGCCTACTTTAACCCATCGAAATTTGCATCGGCCAATTTAAATACAGACTTGGTAGTCTCCTTCTTCTTACCTACTCTGCTACTCATGCGAATACAGTATAACTAACCTTAAAAAAAGTGGCGGTGCGAACCGAACAATTTTCAATAGTGTTGGAGTCACCGGCACCGACTTTGTTGATATACCTAATTTCATCAAATTATTTCAAATTTCAACATGATCAGATATTTGCGGGACAGAGAGACGGGCAAGCTTACATGAAGGTAGAATCAGTCGCAGTATAATAAAAGGTGGATCTATTCCAAATACTTCTGGGCCTTGTCTTTGCCCAATATTTTACGCAAATATTTATGTAAAGTGCCGTGTCGAACAAATATATGTGTACGCATGTTGAAATGATTAGCACTCAAGGTATGCCTTAAAATAAGTATAGAAGTTTTCGCTGGTTACAGCCATCACCGAAGAATGAAGGTCTTGTAAATTCTTCGTTTTGGTTCACTTCCGATGCTCTTCTCTCGTTGAGTTTCCTTTTAATGCGCACAAATGTTGAGATAGCGAGTTGAGTCGTGTCATATAGAATGTGTTTGAATGTATAATACTGATCAAAGATGTTGCAGACATCTTATCCGCGATTTGCAAACTATGCAAAGGTATTCGAGATAATTAGCAAAAAGTTGTTTCTTGTATTCCTTTGACATTGAAGTTGTAGCAGAAGTTACGCAAAATCAAATCAATAAAATTTTGTAGCAATTTGTTGTTTGTTAACATTTTCGCAAACTATCGCTTTTCTAATAATGATGTACACACACATACGCATGATTGTTCCAATGTTTGCTTGTGTTCTTTGTATGTATGGGCTTGAATTGTATACCACTTCATCTTTAATTGTTAGTTAATCAATTTGATGTAATAGTTATTCTTATCGCCAGCAACTCGCACAACTTTGTTTTTACAATTGAAATATTTCTCTTTTTATCTTTCTTTCGACGAACGTTCGTACACTGCAATGCAACTGTTAATAAATGTATGCAATATGCACCACTACAAACAACTACTAAAATAACAACACCAACCACCTCCTTCACCACCATCACCACCACCCACCACCTAACCAACTCACAACTTGCCTTAATGCACACTCTTCTCTACTTGAAATAACAAACAAAAAAAAATTAAAAAACAAAAAAAAAAAAAAAAAAACATTAATGTGCTTCTCTTAGGTCTACTCGCTCGATTCGCCAGACAGTTTTCAGTGTTTGTACTCACCGGCATTCGCTTCGATACGCGCTAAACACCTCGAGCGCATTGCCGAGCAAATTGCCACTTTGTGCGCTACGCTCGGCGAGTATCCGATGGTGCGATATCGCATGGATTGGGATCGCAACATCGATCTGGCTGCTGTGGTGCAGCAGAAACTCGATGCGTACAAGGCTGATGAGCCAACGATGGGCGAGGGTCCCGAGAAGGCACGCTCGTGCTTATTAATTATGGATCGTGGGTTCGATTGTGTCTCACCTATGTTACACGAATTAACTTTGCAAGCGATGGCATACGACTTACTGCCTATTGTGAACGACGTTTATCGCTTTACGCCCGGACCTAATCAACCAGAAAAGGAGGTGTTGTTGGATGAGAATGATGATTTATGGGTGGAATTGCGTCATGAGCACATAGCTGTTGTCTCAACTCAAGTTACACAAAATTTGAAAAAATTTACCGATTCGAAGAGAATGTCAGCCAGTGAGTGTTGTAGACGAAAAGATAAGGAAATTATTCTTCTTTAGGGTTTTTGTTTAATCTTTCATAAATTCATTTTCATATTATGCTTAATAAATGAATCTATTTTATATAGCTGACAAAGCCTCAATGCGTGATTTATCGCAAATGATTAAAAAAATGCCGCAATATCAGAAGGAGTTATCCAAATATTCAACACATTTGCATTTGGCTGAGGACTGCATGAAGGCCTATCAGGTTAATGAAAGCGTGGAACAGCATTGCAAAAACAAAATACTTCAACTATGCTATTTTCTTTTTTTAATTTACTTTAGAATTATGTTGACAAGTTGTGTCGTGTCGAACAAGACTTGGCTATGGGCACCGATGCAGAGGGCGAAAAAATCAAAGATCATATGCGTAATATTGTCCCTATATTATTGGATCAGGTTAGTTAACTCGTATCCGATACCCAAAATGCAATAAATTTATATTTAATTTTTCCTCTTTCTCTCTCACTCTCTTAGTCCGTTTCCAACTACGATAAAGTACGCATTATAGCCCTGTATGTTATGATTAAGAATGGCATTACCGAGGAAAATCTCACCAAGCTCTTTACCCATGCCCAGCTGTCTCCCAGAGACCAGGACATGGTGCGCAACTTAAGCTTTTTAGGTGTCAATGTTATTGCTGATGTACGCTCGAAATATTCATTAGATTCCCTTATATGTTTATAAGATTTATTTAAAATTTTTATAGTCTCGTAAGAAGCAATACACTGTGCCCCGTAAAGAACGTATTACCGAACACACTTACCAAATGTCTCGTTGGACTCCTGTCATCAAAGATGTTATGGAAGACTGCATTGAGGACAAATTGGATCAACGACATTTTGCTTTTCTAGCTGGACGGTCGCAGAATACCAATTATCATGCGCCAACCAGGTGAATATAATTGTTTTGACAATACTTGCAGGAAACAGATCTAAAACTTGGATTTCTATCTCTAATGTATCATCTTTTTCGAAATATAACATTTCTGATATATTTTCACATACACATTAAGTTCTTCCGCAACACAAAAAAAAAAAAAATAAAGAAAGAAACCAAATTTCAAAAAATTCTTTCTTTTACTATTTATGCTTAACTTAGAATCAGTCCAGAAATCAATTCAGTCAATTAATTGTGTCATGTGTTCTTTTTTAACCCCAAAAAAAAAAAAAAAAAAAAAAATGTATTTAGCGCCCGCTACGGTCATTGGCATAAAGACAAAGCTCAGACCCAGGTTAAAAATGTGCCACGCCTAATAGTATTCATCGTTGGCGGTGTTTGCATGTCTGAAATGCGTTGCGCTTATGAGGTAACAAATGCCCTTAAAAATTGGGAAGTGATTATCGGTTCAACCCACATCTTAACACCAGAAATATTTTTAAGCGACTTGGGCTCTTTGTCTAAAGAGGATTAAAATAAATGAATTATTTAAAAAAGCAAAAAGAAAAACATTACAAAAAGACATTTGCAAAAAATATAAAAAACAAAAAAAAAAACAAAAAAATAAGAAGCTAATAATCATTAATTAAGATAACAATTTCAATAAATATCTATTAAACATAAATGTTTCAAATATATGCACATGGTAAACAGACGATCCAAATAGAGAAATTACTTAACTTAAATTAAATATGAAGTAATGAAGTCTTCTAAAAAGTATTTGTTTTTTTTTTTTAACAACATTCTTTTTTGATTTTTTTATCCGTGTTAACCTATATCTTCTGAATTATATTTAAAGTATATATATATACAAATATATATATATATATATATATATATATATATATATATATCTATATATCATATCTATTATATATATTATAAATCTGTAGCAATATTATAATTATTACGCTACAGTCAACTGTATTTCTAGACGAAGAAAGTTTACCAAAAAAATTTCAAGAAAGAAAACAAAGTAAAGATTTGGAAAATAATTTTGAAAACAAAGAAAGCAAAGAAAAACGCAAAAATACGTTTATTACTAGTTTTAGTAAATGTTTTAAATATGTGTACATTTAAAAATGTTTATAATTATCAAAAGAGTAAAAGAAGTTTTGCAAACGAGAAAGAAACCAAAAAAATAAAAAACAAATTTATTAAAATTAAAATAAACCCGTAAAAAATTAATTGTACGAAACTATTTAAAAAATTAACCGTAAAAGAAAAGACAAATTCATTCACAATTTATAACAAAAACAGTTCGAATAAATAACAATAATAACAATAACAAGAAAAAAAAAAAGAAGAAAAACAACAGCAACATCAATATTGACGAATACAAATGCGTGTAAGATGAAATTTATTATAAGCCAACGAATAAAATTGAAAAAGTAAAACTATGGTTAGTTCTCTTAAAATGATTATGTTATGTTTTTGACATTCGAAGACCGAGTATGCTAGCGCTTCAAGCCACCGTTCGTATAGGATCGAATAATAATAATGGAAGAGAAGAAAAAAAAAAATGTCAAAAGCATACAAATCTTTAGGATATGTAAAAAATATTTATATTAAAAGATATATTTAGAAAAAACAAAAATTTGAAAGTAGGTTTAATATTTATATTAATATAATTTAAAAAAAAAAAAAAAAAAAAACGAATTAATTACATATGAATGTGTGTCTTGCATAATAGCCCCAAAAAAATGAGTTAAAAGTTTTATATATAAATACTCTCCTATATACATATATATTAAATCTCTTGTAATCTACATTACCTTGTACTTCAATACTGTACTGCACTGTACAGCAGGTACATATAAAATTTCTCTTCTCTTTAAATTTGAAACAAGAAGCCGATTATTAATAGACAAAAACAAAAACAAAAGTTACGTTAAACTATACAATGTAAAACAAATAGAGGCATATATAATTTTTCAACAGTACAGACAAAAAAAAGAGAATCATACTTAAGAGCAAAAAAGAAGAGCGAGCACATGTTTTTTCGTTTTTGAAATATGCTTTCATTTCTCTTTATGTTTATTTATCATTTTATCGCAGCGGACAAACATGTATGATAGAAAAAAATTCGAGTAACAGTAGCATGTAATATTTTTTATTGCATATTCGGAGCCTTGTTAGAAAAATAAATATGAGAACACGATCATTTGGAAAGCTTACGTTCGATTCGTAATAATATATAGAACTGTCTGCGCTAAGAACCAAAGAGCGCACATAAGATCTTTAATTGTATGGCGGAATTGTGTATTTGCAAGACAGAGAGAAGATCCGACGATGTGTTTAGCCGCCACATTAGCCAGAAACGTCGCGCAATAAGTCTTATTGCCTAGCGCCTGGGAGCGAGAGGGAGCAAACGGCCATTCCATTCGCGAAGCCCCATTTCTTTTTCTTATGATAACGATTGACCGATGTTAGTTAGCCGAGACACTAAGAAGGGAAAATATGTGATATTTTTTATTGAACTTGTGTATTTCAAATTCGTAGAGTGGACGACAAAAGCAGCCAGCCAGTCTAACATTTGATTAAAATTGCGCTTTTCTTAAACGTTTTTTAAATAGATTTCTCGATGATATTAAATTTAACCTGTAGAAGGTAAATTTTAACTTGAACAATAACACAATCGTACAATACAATCGTATCCCGTCTCTTTCTCTTAAGAAAATGAAGGTTTCATTCGACCTCTTCGCTTGCAAAGAGAAAAACGTTAAAGCTAGTAATAGGACTTAGTATTGAAAAGAAGCGGTGTCAAATTCCTCGAACGCTTAAAATTGTTCTTCATAATTCCTTTAGTTTTAACTTTAATTTATTCTAATATTTTCGAAAAAATAAAATTCTAATTATCTGTGGATGCCCTACTGTTTTCGGTCTTCTTACGATATCATACTGCAGATTAAGCAGTTGTTGTGGACTTGCCTTTCTTTTTCTTACCGTTACCATTCCTAACTGAACTATGTAGTAAATTCATGTGCATATGAGAGATAAGCTGAGCCTGAGCGAGGAGAATTTCTTCAACGTTCTCTTCATTTCTTGTGCAGGCATTTATAGTGAGCTGTAAATCGATTTCTTAAGCATTAGTTTTTCTTAAAATTGATGGTTAATGCTAAGAATAGAGCATTAATTGAACCAAGTCTTCGTTTTTTATTCTTCTCGCAAATATTTTAGGCAAAGTAAATCATATGATATAGTGGAAATAATAATAGCAATAATCAAGTGAACTCTTTGTTTTGTGTTTTGATTCTACGAATAATAATAGTAATTAATATAAACAATAATAATAATAATAATAATAATCTATGGTGATGGCATATATAGAGTTAGAAAGTCTTTTGGCTTTACGATCATATTATCGTTAAGTAGAAAATAAATTATGAGCGGAATTAGGTTTGAAATTTGAAACGCTTTCGAGGTTTTACGAACCTTCTTAAAAATATTTAAATAACTCTTTTTTTTTTGTTTTTTTTTTTTTCTTTTTTAATTGATCTCGTTTAAAATAGCTTCTTCTTTATTCGAAATCTTCAAGGCAATTATTTACGAAAAACATATTTAATATTTAAGAAGTATAACATTATTTTTTCGTTCTCTTAATATGCTTAACAATTGTCAACAAAGTGAACATTAATTGAAATTCTTAATGAACAATTTGATACATAAATAAATAAATAAAGTAAAATATATAGAGCCTTACTAAGAAAATCAAACAACACAATACTTATAAATCTATACTTAAATAATCAAACAATTTAATTAATTAAAGAATGAATTTTTATTTATTTATTTTTTTATATTATCGCTTATTAATCATTTTCTAATTTGATGGGTTTTTTTTTTTTTTTTTTTTTTAATTCATGCGATTTCTTAGGTTAAAAAATTCCTTGCGAGTTAACAATTAGCGTTTTTTTATTTTCTTATTTTTTTGTTGCATCATATGTTGTTTGTATTAATATGAGTTCGCAATATTGCTTGTTTTTTCGTTGATAATATTGAGAAATACGGATCAACGCATCCATAAAGCTTACGTCTTCTTCGTGGCGATAAGATTCTGTCTGACCAATGTTGTTAATAGGTGGTCGTAGTTTAACTTTCGAAAACGGGTTCATTAATACACTTAGAATAAGTTAGTCTAGATTAAAAGATGTTGTTTCAAGAGTCTGTCAAATGTATTGATTCGGCTTATTTACGCGTTCGGAGGGAATGCGTCCGCAATATGCAAAATCTCTATAGAACGGCGTTAATCTAGAAATCTTGTTTTCAAATATTCCTAAGGACCAGCTAATATTTCTTTACAACAACAAGTAAGGCTGATCAATTAGCTGATACATTGCTATAATTATTAATACATAAATAAAGCTTTACTTGATGACTATTTTTGAACATTCATCATTAGCCAATAATCAGTCTCTAATATGATTCAAGAAGAGTATAAAGCCAAAGAATACCTCTCAAGAACAGAACCACATGGACATTGAGTGAAATACATAATGGATTCTGTCCTCTTCGTTGGTAAAAGCAATCACCTTAGTCACGTTATAAATCCTTGTCAGCTTTTCTTTAATATATGATTCATTTTCTAATTTCATCATTATTTTGATTGTTGCCTTTGTTTTTATTTATTGATATATTGAGTTGTTTTTAACTAAATTTAAAAAAAAAGCAATATATTAAAAAACGTAATTACCTTAAATAGAGAACGCAATATATATATATATATATATATATATACATATATATACATGCAACAAAAATTATATATATATATATATATATATATACATGCAACAAAAATTAACCATTTAACTTCTTATACACATTACTATAGATAAAAAGAAATATTTATTAAGCATATAAAGATTATATAACAAAATATGAATTTAGCATAATAACATTATTTATATAATATCGAGTTAATAGCTTTTAAGATTTTATTCAATTACGTATAGGAAATAATCTTTGAAATAACTTCAAAACTTAATAACAGTATTCAACTTATCTGTTTTAATCATTTCTCCATTTAGGCCTTTAACAGACGATAGTTGTTTCTTTGTTTTCTCTTTTTTCTTCTTTTACATAAAGTTGATTATATAACAACGAACAAATGCATACAGATTTACTATATTGTTGTGAGAATAAACGAAAATAAATGAGGATCACACACTTTCTCCCAATACGGTTAAGCTAATATGGATTCTGTGTTACTGGCCTTACGATGAGAAAGATAAAAACGATAAAAGCAATAACTTAAATAAATATTAAAAAATACTCTTTTTCTCTTATTTATTTACTAACTAATTTATTTATTTTTTTTTATTTAAAAAGGAAAAAAACAAATTTTTAACAAAACAAAATAAAAATATTTAAAGTTAGATTTTTAAGAAAGAAAAGACAAAAAGGAATAATTCACAGTAATTCAAACATTTATTGATTAAGCTTAATAAACGAACTTCTATTAGTGTGTAAGTTAAAACAACATATATATATATACAAATATATATATATACATATATATCTGTTAAGCCGTTTAAATTATTGCATTAACAATTTAAAAGAAAAAATTATATATATATATATATATATATATATATATATATATATATATATACTTCTT